ACATTAAAATGCAGGTATTATTTGTTAAAGAATGAGGTGAATGAGATGGCTTCATGCTTGTACATCCATTGCAAAGGTAGGAGTACATCCAGTTGAAGTAGAGGTTAAAGATGTCCAGGAGAACAGAGGATATTTCATCATCTGCTGCATCATGACCACAATTTCCTCCCACCTATGTTATGATTGAAAAGGGAGCACTTCCTACCACCTACTGAGGAACATTTTTGAAGAAATGGGCACCAAATATTCCCCAGTGATGGACGTATCAGCAGAATTATGGCTTGTGTCTTTGGGAAAAAAAAAAAAAAAGAGGTCAGATCCCTTAAATTGGTTTTGTAGAAAGGGCTGTGTCAAACATCTTGCTGCTGAGGTGGGTCCCAAGAAACCCTACCCCATTTATGTGGTTAGAAAGTGGGAATGTGGAGCTTTGGGCTGCTTAAGGGCTGTTTGCTGCCTCCTGCCCTTCCAATTCATGCACTTAGCTACCAGGCTGGTTTATTTGGATTATTTCCATCATTCCCTTCTGCAGGGCTGGGAAAGGTGGGTAGCACAAACATGGTTATGGGAAGGGTCTTGCTGCAGGTGAGCATGACACAGAGAGATCAGGAATTACACAGGCTCTTGTAGATGGCTTCTGTGGCTGGCTCAGGGTGCATATAATTTGTTTGGTGCCCAAAAGTGCCTGCACCAGTGTCTTGACCCTGGAAGGAGCATGCTTGCATTTAATTAGGGAACCTTCTGTGGAATCAGTCCATCATCAGGATAATCCACTGGTTTACCACATTTCCAGAATTCATGAATGATAGTCTCCACCCCTGTCACTGCCCTGAAGCAGAGACCAACTCTCACACCTTCTTTTGCACTTCAGCCCTAAATTGTGCCCCACCACATGTTGGTTGTCACCAACACCCCATCTACTCCCCATCTTGTGTCTACTCCTCTCCCACCTATGTGTCCTCCTTCCCTCTCTTCCCCACTCCTCTGCCCCACTGGGTTACTATCCTCTACCTCGATGTCCTCTGCCCTCTGCTAATCACTTTGCCTTCTTGGACAACCACATTTATTTCTCTTACACAAAGGGGGAAGGAAAGACTTACAAGTTGTTCTTGCTCCCCCTTTTCTTCTTGTTTTCTGGTTCCAAGTAAACAAGGCAAATAATCTGGTGTTTTCTATATTGCATGGGGTTTGTCAGGGAAGAGATAGAAAAGCCTTGAGGATGGTCATTCTTGCACATGTAAGGGACAAACCCAATAGTTGATAGTTTTAGCCCTTCAAGTATTTCTGCCATGCTGGTCAGAAAACACAGAATTCTCACCATTTATAGCTAATCCCCTACAACATCGGTTATTTCCTGACATTGACAGTTTTGTCTGGTTTTACCCTTCTTTAGATTTTTATAGTTGACAGATACCAGCTAAATGTAATTGAATGTGCAACATTGCAGGTTTATCTCTTGTTTTCATTTCATTCTTTAAAACATTTTTAATTACAAGAATGTAATTTTATATCTCTTTTAATGGAGATCCTAGAAACAGAAACCATTATTTAAAAGTTTCTTTTTCTTTTTTTTCTACTGAGAAATAATGAAATGGACCTGATGGCAAGTGTCCATCCATCCCACCCCTCTGAGACCAGCTGTACTGTTTTCATGTCTTTTGTGTTCAAAAATCCTGCCTGAAATTGAACTGTCTGATATTAAGAAAAGGTATCAGGGGTGTGGTCATAATGCTGCATCCTGCCCTGTGGTCAATGTCCTTCATGGGACAGAGGCCTTGTTGAAGGCTCTGGGTGGTGACTCAGAACATGTTTACTAAATACATGTCTCTGCAGCAGACTTCCCATTTGTCTTTAGGCCAGTCGCTAAGGGTATTGTTATTGAAAGTTAAAGGATTGAAAATCACTTCAATTATTTAAAAAAACTTAATCACTTGTCTCTCCTGTGATTCATTTCCATGTTTTCTCCTATCTTTTACCTTGTGCATTTAAGGCTTGTCATGACAGGTGCTGTCTCTTACTATATGTTTGTAGAATATGAAGGATAATGGGAAATTGCCTATGTGGAACTCATGACATATCGCTAAACTAGAAATAATGAATGAGTTTTAGTGATTATAATAGATGGCAGAGCGCACCCAATTTTCATGTATTCTCTGAAGAACTATATTTGTTTTTGAAGGCATACATCAATTTCTAAGCTGCTTTTCTGATATTTCACTTTCCAACACTATTCAGGTTGGAAGCTTCTTTTAGGATTTACTTTTGCCCATTTATTGAGCTCAGGTGCATATTTTCACTCTTTATTCTCTACATCAAGACTGTATTTGTTCTCTCTATTTTGCGTGCTCACTGTAATCATGCATAAAGTCCTTGGGAAAGTTCAGCTTTACAGCAGTGAAGGGCTCCATTGGCAGAAGTATAACCAGCAGACTAGGGATGTGATTATTCCACTCTGCTTGGCACTTTTCAGATCATTCCATGGAAAACTATCTTGGTCCCTTTGGTCCCACCAAAAGAAAGATAAAGGCCACCAGACCCAGAAGAAGACCACCAGGATGAAAAATGTGTTGGAAAACTCAATGTATGGAGACAGAATGAGTTTTCTCAGTCTGGAGAGAAGGCAGTCTAGGAATTTCTGATCAATCTTCCACTTCCTTAAAGGTGATAATGGAGAATAAGTTAGGCTTATTTCACAAGGGCACATGGTGCATCTTTGCACCATGAGGTGACATGAGGCAACAGGCACAAGTTGCTTGATATAAAATTCTGCCTGGATATTAAAAGTACTCTTTACAGTGAGAATGCTCAGACAATGGATATTTTACCCAGCAAAGTACTGGGATCCCAACTGATAGATATATTGAAGACTTGGTGTGGCCCTGGATAACCTAATCCAAGGCCCTGCTTTCAGTGAAAGAGTGGATCTATGAACTACAGAGAATTTTTTCAACCTGGAATTTTCTGTGATTCTATATTTCTTTTATTTTCCCCACTGTAAAATTCATTCATACCCTGCCTTCATGCCTAAATAGAGCTATGATTTTTTCAATATACTGGCAGTACAGGCATATTTCTATAAAATGCACTTTCCTTGAAGGAACTATTGAATTAATCCTTTTTTTTTTTCAGAAGGAATTAATGTGATAGCACCTCTACATTTCTTGAGGAAGGTGTAATGCTAAACCAATATGCTGTGTTGATTTTTTTGTATTACCAAGCTGCTTATCTCCCTGTTTTACGAAAAGATGTACTCTGCAGTCATCCATGTTTCATCTATGTAATCTGTGTTCCAGTCTCTGCCTGGGGGTGAATTAAGTGGTCTTCTGATGGGACACACAGAATGGCACTTGCTATATCCAGCATGGATATAACTGCAGCAGATATGGCCCAACACTCCAAAAACACCTTGGTAGCCTTCTTTCTTTCTCCAATCTTTCTCCCCATTCCTCCACTTAAGTAGGGTAAGTGTTACAAAGTGGGGCATGATAGAAAAGCTCTTGGTCCATATGTCAATATGCAGTATGGATACATGCTCTTTCCCCTTGGCTGCAAGCTCTTTCCCCTGAAGAAAGAAGCATGTGATCAAGCTGGTCTGTGTCCCTTCATCTTTGAGGTGCTCTTTAAGACAGTCTAGCCTGAATCTGCATATTGATGAGGGGAAGATATTTGAATCAGCAGCATACTTCTCATGACTGTAGGAGAAGATGAAACTGAGAACAAAAAATGTTTTTTGTACATTAAAACAGTAGATGCTAGGGAAACACTTTATAAATTTTTTATATATATTATTGCCCTGATATACTAGGCAAAGAAACTACTGCTGAGGGTTTATGTATAAGAAAGTTTTGAAGCAGTAGTGGGGAGTATTACTCTGTTTCATGTCATATAACACCACTGCAATGGGGAAATATGTCAAGGCCATACCTTTGGGTTGCCTCTTGTGTTTCTGACAAAAAAAACCCTGAAAAGCGAACACTTCTTTAAAGCCTTTTAAAGTGCCCAGTTTGTCCTAATATATGGGTATTCCAGGTATTTAGGTTATAGGCACACCAGCATCATCACCCATGAGTAATACATTCTTTACAGTGAGAAAAGCTTTTCTAAGTACAGGACTGGATAGTAAAGTGTTCCTGGAGTGAAGACATTTGAAAGACATTTTAATTTGGTGGCACCATGCAGAGGGCATTAATCTTTCTTGTGATTTCCTCTATTGTAATAGAGAAAAAGATTTTTAATATGCAAACCTGTTAAATCAATCATCCTTGGGAATTTAGATGCACAGCGTGATAAAGGCAACAACTTCCAATACCTAGAGGCAATTTTTTCCATATGGTTTGGATGTTGAGGTTTAGGAAAAATAAGCATTTTAATGAATTTTGGTCCTATTAAAAAAACAAACAACCAACAAAACCCCTTCTAATTTAATGTAAAGATGTCCTACTTTAAGATAGATAATATAAAAAAAGTTTACAGTTATTACAATGGAATATCAACCTGTATTGTGCAAACGTTTTGGTGTTTTCAGTGTAAAATCAGGGTGGGTTTGGAGAGAATGGTCTAAATTATCTACCATCTAGTGTTGCAGTAATATGATATAAACCTGAGGCAAATATTGAAAGAAAACATAAGTTTTTAGACATTCTTGAATTTATTGAAAATTAAAGCAAGTCTTTGAGTTATTATGTTTCTTCTGTTCCTGAGATTTAGCAAGACATCTTCATTCAATATCAAATTTATACCATCTAAACTGTTTGCAAACCTGGAATTGGGTTCTTTATTTGGAGAAAGTAGAAGTGTAATACTATTTGAAAAAGTCAATGATTATGTCATTTTGCATCACAAAGAGATGGCTATGACTAATCCTCAGGCAAGCCTAGGCTTCCCATGGGATAGGATTTTTACTAAGCACCATAGCCTTTAGAGCAACCTAGGACATTTGATGTATTTCCACATGGATAACAGCATTACATGACATCTAAGTAAACTTAGATTATGTATTAATTGACAGGTTAGATCTGTCTGGCTCAAGGGGAACAGACAACTGTGTGAAGGCTGAGGTAAGGTTAGAGGACAAAATGTCAATTGTCACTGGGTTATATCTCTGGAGACAACTAGCAGTCCAGATTTAGAACTTGGATTTAGGTTTATGGCTTGAACCTTTTCCATTATGTCCTCTTGAGAAACATATTTTTTGCAAATAGGAAAGACCACACACACTCAGAGAAGATGGCTTTTTTTTTTTCTTTAATTATATAGCTAATATAGCATAATTTCAGAAAATTTTAAGAAATGCTTGGTGTATTTGCATCATCAGGTTCTTTATTCTGCAGCTCTGAACAGTTATTCACTCCACTATATAAGAGAGAAGAAGCTCAGGAGGCTTTATATTTCTCTGATGTCTGTCTCCCTGAAACAAAGCACCTCATTTACAATGCACGAAAAGAAAAAAAGAAAGGGGTAAGAAAAGACTAATAGATTGTTTGCACACAATTTAAAATGCCACCATTGGGCCTGGTGAATTACTGAGTAGAGATCTTTTTGAGAAAACTTGACCATTGTAGTCAATGCCTCCATATGAATTTGAAAGATAAACTTTGTATAACCTTCATCTTCATCACCTCCTGCCTTTGTTTATCAAAGACTGTCTTAAGGGACTAACTGGTGTCAGAGCACTTAACACAGTCTTCTTACAGTCTCTGTGCAGTTTTGGAGATGACAAGCACAATGAATTGGATGAGAAGGCAGGTAAAAATTACCCAAGACACTGGAATTCTTTTTAAAGAAAAAAAGTTGTCCCTCCAACCTCACTCAGTTTTTGGGTCTGACTAGGTTGTCTCTTTCACCTATGACTGAAGGTGAAACCTGTCCACTTCTGCTCTCAGGCATCAATAAGCTCACGTATAATGGTATAGGAAAGAGAGAAGATTCACAAATTTGGAGCTCGAGCAATGTCTCCAGGTCATCTCCATCCTGGCTACCTCCTGAGGCCATGGAAACACCTGGCAAGAAGACCTAGCTATTTAGACTAATTGCCCTTCACACTGGATGAGCAAGTACAGCATTCATCATCCTCCTCCTAGTGGAAGAAGGTACATTATCTGTTTGGTCAGAAAGTCTGGACATGGCAGGGATAGAGCAAACAAACGCAGTTCTGAAAAGAAAATCTACTGAGAAATTTGCCACCAAAACTCTGGGTGACACCAGTGAGGGCCTCTTGCCTCAGCTCCAAGAGCAAAGAAAGATTATTTCTGATGATAGAGCCTTCCATAAAAGCATTAAGCCTTTCTTTCTGCACAGGGGTATGGAGGGTAAGACTATGGACATGGGCAGCATCTGTGAAGCAGCTGATGTGTTTACAGTTCAAACCCAAAGTCACCGTCTGGATGGCTATTTGTGGGCTCACACTTTTGTGACTTTACAAAAACAATAAGCCTAGAGCAGGCCTAAAATACAATTTTAGAGCAAGCCTAAAATAGTAATTTAGTCTCTCTCAGTATCTTTAACTGTTAATTTATTATTACTTATTAACTGAAAAGCAATAGCCATGACTAATTGAATTAAACTAAGATTCAGTTACTTCCTTAAATTTATTTTATTAAACTTTGAAATGAAATCAATCACAAATGTCAATATTTTCACCAGTAGTGGTGAAAATATGTTGGGTATAAATTACGTTTTATGAATATATTCTGTAGTCATTAAGGCATAGATATTAACTTATTCTAATTTAAAAAAAAAAAAAAGTGAGAAAGAATGGATGCCACTGTCTGAGCTTGCCATGTGTCCTTGGTGATGGATGCAGGTGGTGTGTGACCCCCAAAGAAGGAGGAGCGTGCAGGGAGTGCTGTGGGCATACAACCCCTCCACAGCCACACCTCATCTGCAACACAGGCCAGCAGCATTGCTCAGTGAGAAAAGAGAGAGAAATAAAGAAGAGGGTCCTGTAAATGTTATTTCCCCCCAGTATATGTACCCAGGAATATATTGAACTACCTCTGCTGCAATTTCCTGGGTGCTCCATACATCAGCTGCTCTCCACACTCAAGAAGCAGTCAGAGGACAACACATACACACATATATTCTCCCTCTTATCATAGGCCCACTCTCAGCTCAGAGATCTTTAATGTGACTTTAGAAGGTAAAACACTGTTGTACAGAAATAAAAACAGTAAAAAGGGTCAGGCTGCAAATTCAGGTTTAGTAATGTGAAGATACTTTCATTAAATCTTCCATTTTGCCAGAATTCACAGGCAACTCTAAACCTGGATTTCAGCACATGTTAGCCTGGGGAGGCTATTAATTTAATAACTGTGCACTGACATGCGTGGTTTTTTACTAAGTCAAACTATAATGTCTTGCAGACATGTAGGAAAACAGTGGATTTTTTAGGATCTGAGAAAGTACAAGTTGTAAACATAGTGCAGTAAAAATGCCTTCTCTGTTTCCCATTGGCTGTTTGTCAATTTGTTGCTTTCCCACACTCTCCCAGCACTTGGTGTATCCCTCCTTAAGCCAGTGACTCTAAAATGCATGGGGTCTAGGCATTTCACTCAGCCACTCTTGTGCTACAGTGCAAAGAGAAATGCGTAATGCTAGCTAGAAAACTATTCTGCTATACCCCGCCATATGCTACAGCATCCAAGCATTTGTTCAAGTTTTATCACTCTAGGGAAAACAGTAAATCAACCTTGCTACAAATACTATAAAGGCAACAATTAAAAGATGTACTTTTTCCTAAATAGGTATGCTGGTTTGGGGCATATATTTGTTTTCCTTTAAATCATAATCTTTAATCACACTAACCTTGCAGACAGCCTGTATAAGCTACACAACTTACTATAAATATTCCATATTGACTTTCTCTTGTGTCCTTTTCCTGCAGTAAAAAGAAACAACAGGTGTGGAGTTTGTCCTGTCTACTGCCATGCTATCTTATTTGTTATTGAAATATGAAGGACTGCCTTGAAAACACAGAGTTACAAGTCTCAGAATTTATCGATAAACTTTTTCGGCTGTGCTCCTGCAGCAGCAAATATTATACCTCATGCAGAGGTCCCTAGGAAAAGGTGTAGGTGTGCATGGCACGGTCGAAGTGATGGTAGAGGAAATGTGCACATAATCTTCTTCCTTCCCAGAAGTCTCATGGCTTACTTGCACAAAAGAGTTTCTCCAGAAAGAGTGAAAATCCAGTATTTCAGCTGCACCATGCCCATTCTCTTTCTGCTGTGGATGACACGTACTGAGGTTATGTCCAGCTAGCTATATAGTGGTCATTGGCCTGAAAAGGCTCAAATAAGCTACCACATTAAGCACCATGTCTCATACTTTGAAGAGATTTTAGGCAGATAGTGGAAAAAAAAGTCTGTCTCCCATGTTACCCATTTGAGGTGGTTTGTTTTTCCACAACACTGGCGTGATTGGCCATGCCTGCCCTGTTGTATAAGAACATTTTTGGTGAGACCCTGAAGTTACCTAAGCTCTGCCAAGATACCAAGTCCAGCGAGGTTTACATTATTAACGTCTGTTATCTGAGCTAATGCCTTACTGCCACATGGAGGCAGTTTACAGCTCTCAGGCATATTGTTTCTTGCTTTCTGCTACTTCTTAATCTAAAATTCTCCTTAACAAATGCTTCAAATATAGAAATTCTGAAGACCATCATGGAACTATAATGAAGGTTGAGAGAAGTGGATTTGTTCAGCCTTGAGAAAAAAAAATCTCAGGAGAGACCTTATCACCATGTTCCAGTATTTAAAAGGCAGCTACAAAGAAGACAGAGACTCCTTTTTCACAAGGAGTCACATGAAAAAGATGAGGGGTGATGAACATAAGTTACTCCTGGGGAGATTCCTATTGGACACAAGAGGGAAATATTGCAGAATGAGAAAAAACAGCCATTGGAGTAATCTCCCAGAGAAGTGGTAGACTCCCCAACATTGGACACTAAGATTTGGCTGGACAAAGTGCTGGAACATCTAGTCTAGGTCATGCATTGTCTAGAAAGGTTGGACCAGATGATCCTTGAGGTTTCTTTTAGCCTGGTATTGATGATTGAAGGACACAGCTTCTCCCTCCCACCCACCCAGCCACTTACATGGAATACAGGAGATTTAATGTGTGTTGAATTACAATTCACAAAGGCTGGACAAAATATCCACTTTTTGCTGTCTTTTGAGTCTGGGTAGTAAAGACTATTGAGGCAATATTCAGCCTTCAGTCAGCAGTTACCCAGGCTCGGTTTTTTGGTTTACATATGTAGCCCATGAAGTAACGTGTCATGCCTGAAGAAGAGATGGAGATACACTGCACAGACACTTTCCCCCTTGCTCCATAAATTCATTTATCAGGTTAGACTTGCACTCAAAAGCAAGTACTTATTTGTATGCCTGTACACTTCTGCTTATCAGCATTGTAAAAGTTCACAGTCCGGCAAGGCTGGTAACGATTAAAGCAGTCTGAAGCACTACAGACTGTTTGATAAGATCTGACACCCAGGGCTAGTGCTGTACTCCTTACTCCTTAACATGCACACCTCCCATTTTTAGTTGCATTTTCTTCAGCTTAGCGGGAAACAAGCAAGGAATGCAGGTCAATGTGGAACATCAAAAGGCCACTGCTCTCCCCAGGGGTGAAGAGAAAAAGAAAAAAAATCCCAACCCCAAATCACTTTTTTTTTCTAGAAGCTTTCAAGAAAAACAAAAGCTGCAGCTCTATTTTACAAAACACACTTAAACAACCTAACACTGAATTATTCATGCCTGTTCTGAAATACAAGCTTTATAACCCTGAATTAATTGCCCTTGGTGGTGAGTATATCTAGTCTCATTGTAAATACTTCACCAATTGAAATACAAACATGTTCTGCACAAAAAAAATATGTTAACACAAACAGTGTCATAAGCTTAATAATATTGTCACCTCCTTCTTTGGACCAAGTTTCACATTTGGAGGTGCCAGTAGACTGACTGGATTTTTGCTGTAGCTCAGATCGGAATTTTTCCCACTGACCACATTTTTGGGGGGAGTTCACAGGTCCTGCCAGCTTGCAGACACAATCTAATATTCCATTTGTCTCACCAATCTCCCTTTGCTGGGAGTCTTCTGCAGGTAATAACCTTTTTGCAGGATTTTAAGATGGGACATTTTCCCTTAGAGCCATGTTCCTAGACAGGCAGTCATCCAACATCTGTGACAAGATACCCCTTTTTGGAACACATTCCTGAAATCAGTGTCATGCCTACAAACGAGGTGTCCATAACAGCTTGCCTCTGGAGTGGTATGATGTGAAAAAAAAAAAACCCGAACCCAAATAACAAAGTGAAAAATAGATAGTGGTTTTTCTGAAGCAAAAGCAACCCCCTGCCTTTTGCAGTAATGGTAAACAACTTCTTTGCAATGAATCTTTTCGTCTGCCTGCATTCTTGATTGGGTGCAAAATGCTTTCTCCATTGATGCCTAAAACGCAAGTGCATTTTTTGTAAATACCAACCTCTGCAATTGCTTGCAGAGATTAGATGATTATATTCTAAAGCAATCCCTGTTATCCAGTGCTTCCTTTTATGGGGAAGTTGTTCCTCATAAGAAATAAAGAAAACTTAAAGCTCAAACAAACCACCTGTTCTCTGTTTCCTTTAACTGGGCTTTGCAGAGACACATGTCAAATAAAATTTAACCTCTCCACAGAAATCAGGGTAAGTGACTTCCTGATAATGGCCTGAATCCTCAGCTGCCTTGAGCTCCTGCTCAGCACTTTTGTCAGGGGTAGCGGGAGAAGGGCAACTTGTTCATTTTCAGGCATTTCTGATCCCATGACTGTCATTTTAGCTTTAGGGTCCTCCTGGCAACAATCTGGGTAGGCAAACTTCCACTGCTCTCTTCCGGGGAGGGAAGGAAATATTGGAGAGCCAGAGCCAGATGAGGAACACAAAGGGTTTCTTTACTGGATAGCGACCTTCAGCTGCCCCAGCAGTTCCTGTTTAAATGTTTGACAGGCCTGCATTAAGGTTCTGCTCTGTTGCTTAACACTGGAATATTGGTGGTGAAGGGGAAATGAGAGTCAGGGGCTGGCTGCTGTGCTCCTCCATCAGTCAGGACCATGGAGACATGGCTCTGCTCCCTCTTGGCTCTTCTTTGCAATCCCCTGCAGCAGCCTTTGTGGCTGAACATTTGTCCTTTTGTGTCTAAGACAACTTCAGGTATAGTCTTGACTGTTGCTCCAGTCTTTCCCACAGCCAAAACCTGTAGAGGGGAGGAATGGCATGGCCCTGAGCTGATCCTGACATCTGCACACCCAGATGTGCCCTTTGTTTGTAGTGCAACTTGACACTGCGTTGGTCCTCTCCTCCTTAAATTATTCCTTCTCTCTGCACAAACTCACATCCAAAGGGATGTGGAGGTTCATGTCAGATTTGGGCAAGGTTAATGAAAATAAATGATTTTAGTGTGTGATGAAGCTTCAACTTACTCTCCTGGGAGGCTCACACAGAGTTTTTGTGATCTTACCTGCCTGGAAAGACTTTGGAGGGGGCAGAAGCTGAGGGCAGGTGAGCATCCTAATCCATTTGTGTAATTTGGAAACTACAGCTTGAAGTCAGTTGTTAGCAATCTACAGTCTTAGTTTGGTGATTGTTTTTCTTCCCTATATAGGGAGGGCAAAACACTTTCCACATGCACTTAACTCACTGGCAGCTCAGGTCACCTGGTGAGTGTCATGGTTATCCACAAACATGGGGGACACAAAGGAATGTGACACTACTGATAGGGATGCAAAAGACATACCATCCTTCTATTTTCTGTTTTTCTGTTTGGTTGTTTTTCTGCTTGTTTTTTTTTGAGCATTGACATACTATATCCTATGTGGCAGGAGGCATGACACAGATGAGAAGCCAGAGTGAGAAATGGCTTTCCTCTCACTCTGAAGCATGACATATGCTGGGAGATGCTGTGAACCTTATTAAGGCTTTTATTATTATGCTACCTAATGACTAGTATATATATATATAATATTATTGTGTTTTACAGAGACACTCAAATGTTCAAGAGCAGCTAATGGGTTTGGACATGCAACTGGCAGCTGATTCCCCTGTCTTTAAAAAATCAGGCTGCTTCAAAATTTTTCAGAGTCAAGACAGCTAAAATCTAGTGCCTTTGAAAAGGTAAGTTATTTTTTACCAATTAGGTATTATAGCCCATATGCACTTTAAAACTAAGGATTTTATTCCTCAAAAAAAGTACTAGCAATTATCTGATGGTATATTTTTCTGGTAAGGGAAAGCCACACTAGATGTGGCAGCAGGTGGACAGAAAAACGTGTAAACTTAGGGCCAGGAAATGATACAGTTAGAGGTCCAAGAGGAAGCAGAAATATAAGGTGGTACTTGCAGTGTTCATTGAGGTCAGAAAGATATAGCAGTGTGTCAGAGCTGCACACACAGGGCAGAGTCAAGGCACTAAGAATAAACACCACTGCTGTGTATTTCAGTTTTTGTACATTATAATTGCCAACTTAATCTAAATGTCATGAAAGAATGCTGCGGACAGGTGTCTCCACATATAAAACGTAAGGCTTTTCTCTCTCCATTTTGTACAGATAACAAAGCCACTGCGTAAGACAAGATACTTGTAATTAAGGCTTTCCATATCTTGCATGTAAGTTATCCTGCACATGTAGGCTATGGGTTTATGTACAGAATGATAGAGGAAGCAAAATACTTGCACATAATCATATAACATTGTCTTATTTCTGCTATTGCTGACTACTCTAAACATTGTGCAATGAAATTGGTGTCTAAAGTGGCATTGAAGACAGGCATGAAAACGGGCATAACAAAGCAGAAGGCATGGAACAACTGTATTTTCCTTCTCTCTCGATGGCAATGCTGTTCACCCAGAAGGGGGAGATCTCAGCCCGCAGTGAACACCCAGCTTGGATTTCTGCTCCATCTCGGAGCTTGTTTGACAGGAAGATTTCGACATAAACCATGCAATTTGGTGCTGGAGCACACTGGACATCATCTGCTTAAAAAGATGCACAGATATAGTCATCACACTTCATAATTTAATAAACTGCTAAAAAATTGCACACGTTTTCATTTTAGCAACTTAGGTCCCACAACGAAACTCACGATGCTACAAAGACATTTGAATTTTTCACTAATATGTCATGAGCACTGCACCCATTGCAAATTAATGAGTCTCTGAATAGCACTGTGCATTTGTCATTTGAATTTATGCTAATGAACTGAGGTCTCCTGATGATGTTGATAGTCCACAGCAGCTGCTCAAACTATAGAATATACATGCATGTTCTCCATTTTTTATTTATCTTTCCTTGGATTTTTCTGGTCTATCATTTGGGCTGCAGTCCTGCAGCTGATTATTGATAGGGCTGCTAATTCTCTTTGACTTTACACTACAGGCTTGACCCACAACCCTCAGAAGAAGTAATGGACCAGTGTTGAGAGAATTATGTACATCACACAGCAACAACCTCAGATCAGCAGGTCAAAAGGAGTTCATTGAGAACCAATGATGTTTACAAAGAGTGTTGGCATGGTAACTGATAACTTTATTTTGTTTGGTTTTTTTTGTTTATTTTATTTTGTTCCCAATGCCCCACCCCCCCTCCCCACCCCAATGAATCATACCAAGTATAGTTTATTTCAATAAGTCAGTCTGAGGCTGTGACTCCGCTCACATAAATTACATATCGTGGTAGATGGCATTTGTTTCTTTCTGCATGTACAAAGAAGTAAAGGTCTGTCATTTAACCCTTCCTGCCCAGAAGAGGAGAGTGTGCAACAGCCAGTGTACGGCAGCCACTGCAAGACCCTGACCAAAGGCTGGATGACAGCCTTTCCATTCAGAGTTCAGGCAGTGCCGCTGGGTAATGAAGAACAATGTCAGACCTAATCCATCTGGGGTCCTGTCAAAGAAACAAAGAAAAGGACTACTCGGAAAACTAGGAATAGAAGTTTCAAAATGTTTAGCTGTGAGCTGTTGTATATTGGAAGCTAGAATATTCCAGAGCAGTCTACAGTCTCTACCAACTTTAGCTCTAAACATGACAATTATAGTGCTGCTAATATACCCAGGAAACAATTATTTGAGCTGCCTAATCATTTTCAAATGACTCAGAAAACTCAAGCACAGAGATGAAATAAGTAACACAGACACAGAAAATGCAGTTTGCTAAGAGTCACTCCATTTTTCGTACGCTTCCAGGTTTCACAGGGCTGGGGAGGCTTTAGTAGTTTAATTTCGAAACATCTGGAAGCAGCGATGCTGTACAATACATTATGGCCTTTTGTTTGCAGCAGGTTCTTTTCAAGGGAATAAAGCTGTGTCACATGAGGGAACTTGACTGAATTATCTGATAAATGTCAAAATTAGACAGATGCATTCTGCCTTCTCTTAAATACTATCAGGAAAGTTTTTTTAAAAATTAACCAGTTCATCTCTAATATCAGAGAGAAGCTCTGGATCTGAACAGTGGCATATACAAAGGGAAAATAGAACAGACTGACTCCACAGTCTTAAAGCAGCTCCAAGCAGAACTCTCAGGAGAGCTGCTTAATATATATATATCTATATCTATACATGCCAGCACCCTTCCGAGGGTTAAAGGAACACTTCAGAAAAATATGTTTCACTAAGAAGCGGCAAATAGCTACTTTCTTGTAGCACTGCAGTTTTCCCATCAAAGAGGTAAAGACATTTTCACTGCTCTCAAAAAACTTTGAAATGTAAACTTGCTCGATTGATGGCTCCTTCTGGTCCTGGCAGCCTTTTTGATAGCTGGTGCTCTTTCTGGAATACTTGTTAAAAATGTCTCTGTAGCAAAGATGTTGTGTTTTTTGTTGTGGTCCTTTTTCCCCAGTGTGATAGATATGTACATTTTTCTTAAAGTCAGTGCATGGGAGAGTGGAGATCAGCTCTTGTCTTCGTTGCAGCAGACTGACAGGTGAACACCTACTCCCTCTGCCCTTGTCCATTGTGATACTTTATGAGATTAGACTGCCTGAAAGCTGTTTTTTTTTCAGTCCAAACCTTCAACCCTCTTTGAACACAACCACTCACTGACTTTTGCAGGGGAAAACTGGCCGTAGCATTGCAGGCTGTGCCCAAAGTTGTGAGGGTGACAAGGTCGGAGGCTACTATGTGCACCAACATTGTTTTAAGCCAGTGCCATCTACACCTATTAACTCCTCTCTTCACAGACACTGACCAAAATCTGGGACTGGGGGGTGTCCCCAGCCTAAAAGATAACATCTCAGGTTCTCTCCTCTGCTGGTGCCTATAGGAACCTCACTCCTGACCTTTACCGGCAAATCAACCTCTCTTCTGATTCGGTGGCTGCTTGTCTGTTTGAAGCAACCGAGCTTTCAAAGTGACTGCACTTGCATACTTGCTTGTCAAGCTCATGTGGCTCTTAGTTTTGGGAACATTTTGCTTCGCTCACGTAAATCGTCTCCTGGAGGTTTTTGCATATGCTTGTTTCTCATCTCTCATGCTACCTCCTATGACCCTGCTAATTCCATCATTGCAGTGTAATTGTAAAGGAAATCTTCCCAGTTGAAACAACAAGCAGGGTGTCCTGGGAGTATCTTTTGGAGTAATATCTTGATGCTAACCACTGTTCACAGATCTGGGGAGGATTAAAGCTGCTCCATGTGAAGAATTTTATACTTAAGATGTAATAAAAAATAATTTGGCTTCTAGAAAAAAATAATCTGAGGCAGACAGCTTTTTCCTTTCATTGCAATAAGCATAGCTATTAATGAGCTATCATCTTTATTAAAGATTATTCTTCTGTGTAATAGCTGGGATTGTTTACCACGTCAATATACAAGAATCTGCAAAGTGCCTCCTGGCATGTTTTGTGGAACAATTCTTGTCCCTCATTCCCCCTGCAACAGACTCACGAGCGCCCCTTTCTTATTCCTTCTGAAGGACTTGTGCAAACTCTGCCACTCAGATAGCAGACAGTGAATAATTCAGCACACTGGCATACGAAGCCATGGCAGAGCAAGTACTGGTGTGATCCACACAGGATACAATGTGCTCACAAAGAAAAGGCAGCTAATCCCGATAATATGCTATGCTAGCCATGGCTGTTGGTAAATTATACAGCACTCAATAGTCTCTCAAGACTCAGAGGAGGCTGTGCTTCTCAAAAGTGATAAAAACTTTGTCATGCTCCTATAGCCTTTTGCCTTAAAAACACTTGCAGTGATTTTATACCAGTGTGCTTGGTGCTGGTTTATTGAAGTGAAAGAGTATTTGGTTTTACTTTGACTCTTTTGCAACTACAACAACAAGTTCTCTGACCATTTTTCTAACATTTCAGTTTTCTGTAAAGGTAGCTTGCTCTTTTCTGAATGATTGTCTCAAAAGAGGTGTGGGGGATGGTGATAGTAGTGCAGATGAGCTTCACATCTTCAAGTTAAAAATCTACAGGGGAAAGGTTAATTTGAGTCAAAACCTGAGTGTCCCAGGCCTCAGGTTCTCAGTGTCATTGGACATCCAGGGAATTTTGAATAGGGTTCCTAGATAATGTGGGTCAGCCTACCCTGCTGGTACCAAGGGGCTGATTTATAGGGGCAGGTGATCCATCTCTTTGCATGATTTCCTTGCAGTTCCAGACAGAGATGCTGCCTGCAGGTGATTACCATCCCTGAATGCCCAGCTTGCATTTGGTCTCTGCCTCAGCATGTACTACAGAAGGCTCAAAAGTATCCTAAAATCAAAGAATATGAATGTATTGATTATATTTCTTCTCGTCTATGTTAGCAAAAAAGCCATATTCAAATCCATATTTAAGGGCACAGTTAAGAGATTTTGGTTCTTTCCAGCTGTCTGGACACAAGAAATACCTGCTATCTGGCTAGCATAGCACAGGCAGGGCCAAGCTGTGAACACCACTGAGCACCAGGGGCAGAAGATAGGGGCTGGAGGACTCAGCTGGGAGAACTTCACTGCAGCCCTTGCTGCACCTCTGACAGCTGCTCACAGCTTTTCGTAAGATGCCATCCACTGAAGAATGAACCAAGGAGCTAGGTCAAGCCCACAGAAGATCTTTGGAAGTGTAAATTTGTCTTTACAGGAAAAAATGCATGCTGTGAGATGGCAGTTTGAAGTGGTTGAGGTGTATATGTGTTGTACCTTCTCTGTTACCTCCTAGAGACATGGTGATGAATGCCTGCTGGCCTTCCTGGTGTCACAATGCATTTTTGTACTGGTAGGAAAACAAATAGGAGGACAGGGAATGGCATTCAAATATCCGTACTCTCAAAGGCAATTGATCCCAAATTTGGCCCTTAGTTCTGAACACTATAGGTATTCTCAGATGGCAAATTTTGGACTCAAGACAATCCTGAATGAAACCTGGTGCTGTAAATGGTAGACATATCTCTGCTCTAAATGAAACATTTTCTCCAAAGCTGTTTATTTGAGTTTCTATATGCGTCATGCCCAGATGCCGTGTGCATTTTTGAAAGCAGATTCTTGCTTTTAAATTCCATATGTGGAACTAGTGTTTATTAACATATCAAATTGGATAGAATCCTAACTCTGAGGGAAAAATAAGGTTTCCAAGAGGCAATTGTTTGGTGTGCTAATCTTCTCAGGACTCACTCCTCAGCAAAGCTTAATAGCTGAAGAGAAGTGTGGCAACACCAGCAGCCCCTTTCTTTTCTCCAGATCCCTCAGTGCTGACATTACCCTGTGAATGGTATGCTGGATCAACAGCTCTAATGACTCAAGGGCTGTCCCTGGGGGTTTTGTCCTTTCCCTTCCAGAGCCACTCCCTTGCATGGTTCCCACGTGCTGTGTGGATGCTCAGAAACCTGCCTGCTTAGCAGGCTTGAAATCTCAGCACAAAGTAGACCACCTGCCATGGTAATCAAGTCTCTACAGCTGTTTTCCTTTATAAGGCAGAGGAATCCCACATCTTATAAGTCTGTATTTACCTACAGATAAAACTTGGTGATGCCATTATGCACTACTGTGTAGGACAGGTCTTTTATACGTGTGTGGGAGTGAATCAAACTTTCTTTTCAAGTATGAGCGCCTCTCATTTCATGTTCTTTTTTACCCCCATAACCAAGCTCCCAGGTTGCAAAGATTCTGCTTTGAACAGAGGGACTTGTGTTTAACTGCAAAGGGAAAAAAACCCTATATTTAAAAAAACACACCATACTTCTTAGTGAGTTCTCGTGTCTCTTTCAACTAGTCAGCATAAAAACCTTTTCTCCAGGCCTGTACAGTCTTTTAAAGTACTAACAAGTGTTCAGTGGTTTCTAAGAGATACTTTTTTTTTCCCCTTTCATAGCTCCAGGGTTACCACCATGGTAGGTGTGGAAAATCTTTGTTCACTTCATTATAAGACACTTTTGTGTACCATCTAACTGGATTCAGTCAGCAAAGGAGACCAGATATGTCATATGCTGATGCTTTCTTCCTCGTCCCTAACATCCTAGGATATTGCACACTTTCATGTTCTGATGGAGGTTTCTTTTACCAATGACCAACATTTTCCTCTGCTCCCTAACGCT